TTTGAAACTAACTCTAATTTACACACAGAACTATTTATAACAAGATACGAGACAAGAATGAATGTGAGCCCGTGTTTTGTACCACAGGGTGTTCATGTTTTAGCACCAGATGCAATTGCCCGTAAAAATTTTTAAATGGTCGATACTATAGTCTTCCATTGAGATAGGTATATGCGCTATAGATACCAAGTAAAGGAAGAAGTTTTGCGCAAAAATACTGAAAGAGAAGTACTTGCCAAGTTAGTGGATGAATAAAATTTCGATATTAATGTGGCTTTATCAGTAGGGATAAGATCAGCTGAGGAGAGACGCCCCAGGAATTTCTAAAAGATCCTTACTCACAGCTTCTTATTGTCCGCAATAATTAAGAATAATGTTTATTGATAATGGCGTTAGATTATCTTATACCTTACAATACGATCTAAAAGTGTATTTGAGTATTGAGGGCATGAAATCAAATAAGACAATCTTTATCATAATTAAAGCCATATGATAAATCTAACAAAATTCGCATTTATTGCATCTAATTATTTAACTCTATACTTTAAGTCACATGGCTTTCAAATAAAACGTATATGTTTAGCATTTGCTGTTTTTAATTATTGTTTATAGTTATAGGCATTAATGATCAAATTGCATAAATTATTACATATTTAATCTTATAATTAATGTGATTGATATTTATTTACCTATTTGTATAGAAAATAGTTAAAGTTTTGTTACTGAGCTTTTAATAGTTCGATTCTTACACCGGCACTTAGGACGGAAATGAGCATGAACTATTCATAGACCCCGCTTTTTTTGATCTCCAATTTTTTTCCTTTAATCGTTCAGGAAAAATAGTTAAAGCATAATGCTCATTACAGGATTTTAATTCAAATTCGTTATGTGGCCATTCAGTACATATAAAAGCGCTACGAATAATGACACACCAACTAAGACAAAGTTTTCCAACGATATATCCGGGTATGATATTAATAAAGCAAATGTATCGGGTGAGTTTCACGGATCATATGGAGTAGTTTGGTCGGTTTTGCGTGGGACCAATAAGAAATCTGGTGATGATGTGTCGATCTTCCGCTCATCATTTAACCTCTGTCCTACCCTTGATAAAGAGCAAGCCAAACTTTCTGTCTTAGGTAGATATTTGTGATTTTATAATTTTAAGAGCAATATGCTCAACTATTTTCCTTGCTTTCCATTAACAAGCGTAGTTTTTTATCTTCATTTTAACAGCCGCTGTTAAGCGAATGAAAACTCTTCGTCACCCGAACATCCTTAATTGGTTTGCCGGAACACCTGAGTCAGCTTCCATTGATACGGGTCTTGACGTAGTCACAGAATATGTGAAACCTCTCTCCGTATATCTCCGCGACAAGGCTGACTCGGGAAATTTTAATTTTATTTCAGCCTGGGGGCTATATCAGGTACTAACCCGGCTTCGGATTGACTTATTTTGGGCAGTGGAATTGAGTTGATTTGTGGGATACTTCGCTTTTTATTCGTACGATTTATTTTCTACTTTTTCCTGCATCATCATTTTTAAATGGCATGGCTTTAGTATTAGATCGGTGTAAATCATGAGGAATGACATCTATATATATTTATAACTTCTGCCCACAGCTTGTCCATTTATTACTAATTCGATACCATTCCTGTTCTTTACTTAGCTTGAGTACCTTTACGCTTGGTTTATTTTGCTCTAACATCATTATCCCCAGCACGAATCCGAATCTTTATTCTTCATTAAGATACCTTTAAATTCTCTACGCCCAAATAAAAATATAGTTTCTCTAAGTAACCTGTTTATTTATTTGCCTTTTAGTCTTCCTCTTATTCACCAGCACTTATCTGGCTTTTAATAGGAAAGATAAATTACTTAGCTATGTTTTGGGTGGACATTTATTCACATAGTGTTGAGTTTGGAAGAAGACATTTCATCTCTACTATTTCCGTTATAATTGCTAGTCAATACTGGATTAATCCATTATGAGTCTTTTGTATATATTTATCCTATTACTCTTTTGATTACTAATGTTTGAGTTTCCGATTTTTTTATTTGATTAAAATCTCTTTGAAATGCACTTTCCCGTAGCTTGCTTTTTACTCTCTACTCATATTTATATACCCCTTATTCCTCACTAGATTTCTCGCGTCCTAGTATTTCTAAATAGTGACTGCAAGTTAACACACAACAACGTCCGTATTTCGACTGTTTTTGTGAATCGTTCTGGTGATTGGAAACTCAGTGGCCTGGATTTCATAAGTGGTCAGGATGAGATGCCTCAGCCCAGAATCAGCCGCCATGATGGCAAGTTGTTCTTGGATTGGAATACTTTATTTATCTATGATGGGCTGGGAAAACTTAATTTCACCGAATAATTGTATCTCAATAATCTGTTCGGAACCTGGGGTTTGTAGGCTTAGATAACGATACGGTGCTCCTCAGCCCACGAATCCTCACCGCCACTAGGTTACAAGGCATGCCTCTCTTAGCTCGTTTCTTTGGTGGAAATGCCTGTTTGCTATTGGAAGTATCATTGCATAGAGGTAGAGAACATTTTCAGTGGTATCAAAGATTTGAGGCAGGCGCAATTAGTACTTCTCTTGGGCTAATAGGAGGGAAATTAAATACGTTGGGGCTAATTTTTGGCTAGAGCTGAATGGTAAAATACCAAATTCTGGTGTATAAGTCCCCACTTTTTTACAGTAGAGTGCTTCGGGGGTCTACTCGTCAACCAACCGCGGCAGTGTCGATGACGCCTTCTTGGCACACTTAATTAAAGTACTGAAACGACGTTTTTTTTATCTAGAGCAATTTCCTATATTTTATGGGTCAGATCAATCCATGATTGAAGAGAGAGCTTTTACTATTTGTGTCTTCGCCGACACAGAATTAATATCCTTAAGAGCTAGACATTTACAGGTCATCCCCAAGGTATTTGATGTTTTTACGCATACAAGTACATGCTAAAAATGTTAGGATTATGATTCACTATGCGAGATGTGCATTCGACCATATGACTGTTGCAGGGAGGATAAAATACACATATCTTCAAGCGCACTTTTGGCACGAGCAGATGAGTATAAGCGAGGACTATAAATTGATTTGAATGCTTTACTTGGTCTGGCAGCTTGTTTGATCACAACACTAGCAGTGAGGGCTAATTTACCTCAACTAAAATTTTCTCTTTGCGCTTGATAGGCAGGGAGTAAGTAGTGCAATTTACACAGTTAATGGCAAGAAGAGGATTCATATATTGGCCTCACTCAAGCCGTAAGAGGACGGCAGCCGTGCTTGATGAATTATCATAATTCACGATTTACGTCATAACGGACGAAAGTTCAATAAGGTCTCATCCGGCTTGCGGGACGATGCGCTGAGGACTTATTCACACAAATCTAGTCACGGCTTCAAAGCAATCCTTCGACTTCCGGTGAGGCCAATTTGAGAATCCTCTCAACTCGTCTCTTTAAACGAGATGAAATCTTTCCCATTGAGATATTCTACTAAACCCATCTTCTTCAAAGATAAACACCGGCTGAATTATTCTTAGGCGAGGTTTGAATCGCACAATTTGGCTAGTAGGGATAAAGATAAAATTTCTGAGATTTATCTATGAACGGATCCATTACTTTGAAATAATTCATCGACGCACTGAGCTAACAGATTACAGAGGAATTTAGCTACAAAAATGTTACATTGCACCTTTTTGTTTTTGTATAAGGATTCAAAATTACTCACTGCTGCTTTTTAAGCCGCATTTCACAAGTATCTCTATCTATTCGTACTTAACCTAGATCCCTACCAGCCTCCAACGAGCTGCCGGCGCTATGCTGATGCCTGGTGCCTGGGTTGCCTTATTTGGCAGCTCTACAATCCAGGCTTTGATGTCCTACCCAATACCGACATGTTGACTGATTCTGTCTGCCTTGATCGAATTCCTTCTCCATTGCAGCGCGACTACTTTCGACTGCTTGGTGCGCGACCAGCAGCTGGTGACAGGAGGGACGTTAAGGACGGCATATCTGTTGGCAAGATTGCTGGTATCAGTGTTGCCCAGTTTCTCACCTCAGCCACCCGAAAAAAGATGGGTTTTCTTTCTAATCCATTCGTAGATTCACTGCTATTCCTTGAGGAAATTCAGCTCAAGGATAGACAGGCGAGTTGTCGGCTTTAAATTTAACTTAAGCTTCTCTTTAAGAATTAATCTCCTGACTTGCCCATTTATTCTGAGCAATTATGGTGACTGTAATTACGATTAAATCCTTACGACAGGAGAAGGAGGCCTTCCTTTTGCAATTGACGGACCAGATTTCTTCCTTTCCTGAGGATGTGTGTCGCTGGAAGATCCTGCCTCATCTCCTGAATGGCCTACGATATGGCTCAGCAGGTCTCGAGGCCCTAGTACCTGTGCTCCGGCTCACGCCACTCCTTTCACAGAATGACTTCTCCTCCACTGTTCTCCCCTGCCTGGTGAGGCTTTTCGCCTCCCCTGACCGAGCTACTCGTGTTACCCTTCTGAATCACTTGGCGGAGTTCGCCCACTATCTTCCCGCAGAAGTCGTGCAAAATGAGGTCTTTGCTTCAGTGGCAGCTGGCTTCACGGACGCCAATCCCGTCGTGCGCGAGGCCACTGTGCGCGGAATGGTACATCTTGCGCCGAAGCTGAAAGGCCGTTTGCTCAATGAAAATTTGTTGAGGTATCTCACACAAATTCAGGTGGGTGAATTAGCATTTGTGGTTTGGATGCCATTTTAAATGACCACTTATGGTAACTTAAAGTTTTATTGAAGATGTGAAGACCAAGATGTTGTGGCCTCTGTTATGGTCGCAGTCTCCTTTCAACTTATAGAAGTTGGTTGACCTCGTTGTCGCAACTTGGTCTTGTGTTCAGGGAGACTATGTAGAACGCAC